TTGCTTTATTATGTTCGATGAAAGTGAGAATTTCGTTTTAGACCGATAAAAAAGTTTGTTCACATTTCAGTAACCCAATCAGAATGCAAAAATTTTGACTTGCTACTTCCGGTAAAAAAGGTACATTATTTACCATTTATAATGAAGTATTAAAAATTTAGGCATTCTGATTGGCTTAGCTTGAAAAATGTCAACAAATATGTTTACATTATAACATTATTTTAAAACGAAATTCCTCCTTGTTTGAGCAAACGACGATGCTAATGGTTCCAGCTATGATCAAGGTGCATGACTCTATAACAATGTGGCTGATATAATAAAATATTTTTTCACCTTCATAACGACCGTAAAACTCCACTCTCAATGAACATGACCCAGCGCACATCTTTGGCTTAATTTGAATGTACCGAGCAATGATAAATGGATACAAATCTTGCTTCACTGTGAGACCACTGCTTGCATTAAACATCTATTGAAAAAAAATTTCCGGGTAACAAAAGAAAGAGCAGAATAATAACCATAGAAACCATAGGAATAAAACAGGAAAATAATTAAAATTCTCTCCACAATTTTTATATTTTGTATCACTATTTCACTTCAGAATTTCAAATAATCAATAGACAAAGGTGCTAAAAAAATATACCGTAAAGTCAGAAAAAAAACTACTTCAAAGATAAATGCAAAATATATAGAAATCTTTCTTACATTACGTTATGAATGTGTTAAAGAGAACGTTAATCTTAAGTTCACAGAGTTTTCCCATTTTTATACACTAACACTGAAATTCTCCCATTGAAAATGTCATTTTTAATTAAGCCAGCAATTAGACCAATGGTAAAAAAGAAATTAACCGAAGCAAAATATTGCCGTTTGACAGTTGACAGTTCCTAATGACTAATAATATGAATAGAAATATCACGTTTTCTCTTGAATTTAAGTCAGCTATACAGTGACTTAACTAGCCAGCTGAATGTTCATTAATTATTTTCCCGATTTTCTCGCACTTATCTGACTTTTGAAGTTGAAATCATGAACTCATCATTATCTGTTTGGCAAAGAAACTTTCGAATTCATTCAGAAATAAAATAGAAATTTTAACATGTTTCAAAAGGGCATTTGAGAAAATCGACTGTAAAGTTTTACCAATATATTACGGTCCTTTGCAGAATAACACAATAAAGGAGTATTTATGGCTGAGGCAGTAATATAAGCATAATTAATACATCTTTTCAAGATATGAATAAGAAGGTAATAGAGAGGAGATTGCACTTACCATATTTCAGAAAATACGATTTTGTGGAAAATCACTAAATTACGTGTAGTTAATTCAAGAATTTAGAGCGAAGAAAAATTTTTAGGTCACCTTTATCTCATCTTTGCGTTTATATTCCTCCAAAGAGTCCCGACGGAATCCAGAAGCGACTGTGTAACTCCGAACCCACGATTGTCCACCATCCAGACCTTGGGTTGAGATTGAAGTGAGAGTGATGTTTGCGATGAAGTCAACTTCAAGCCAAGGGTCAATATCATAGTCCGCCGCAATCCATCCTCCATATCTTACGTTGTCTACCGTAGTCAAATTCAGTCTGCCATTCCATGCTCCGGATTGGAAAAATTTTGATGAAGACGCTGTGATTTGTGAGTCAACGATCATTCTACTTTGCATTCCCAAGGGCACGGAATCAAACCAATCCCTTTCTGGAAACAAAAGTATAACATAACAAGTTGAATAGACTGTTAGCAGTCAACCGAAGTTTTAAACTGAGGAAAAAGAAGATGTAAACACAAGTTGCAACAATTTAGCCCTAGAAATTAGCTCGCACAGAGGATTTTTGGGATCCAGGATCAAAAGCTTATTAGTAGCCCCATTGATGACCCTGCATGGTAAACTATATATAGCTTTTTAATGTTGTATCTACTTGTATTTTGTGCTATTTCAGTGCAATATTGCATTGCCAGATATTTTAGTGCGCTATAGAGTTTATTTTTCCGGATGAAGCAATTTTAACGGTTTGTCAAAAGCGAGCTTCAGATTTAGGATGGCAATGCGCCGATCGATAACGGCTAAAATAAACTCCTTTTGTTGATCAGGTCGAGGTGATTTAAATACAAAAAACATCCAATCAGAAAATAGACCCTCCATGAAACCTGATTATCGTTTCCTTCATTTCACAATTTTTGCATACATTAATTAATTGTGTAATTCAATCACTTCCATACATTGGTTGTTTTAGCAAAATGTGAATCAGTAGAATCTCGATTTCACGGCAGGCCCATCGTGAAGGACGGGGAAGAATGACTGCATGGCGCATGATAACTCAGTTCTGTCAAGGTACCTCATAACGTCATGATCTCAGATCAACTGGATTAATTTAATACGTACAACAATAAAAGTCGAAAACTTTTAATTTAAAAATTTTTTCGTATTTCTTTTGTCCAAAAGAATTATTTAAACCGGTTCAAATTTTCCATTTTCTTGTAAGAAAACGTTTTATGAAATAAAAATTGGGTAACCGAGCTTATATAGAAAAAAATGTCGAATCGCCATTGATGCCATAACAACTGTTATGACGTTATGAATTATATGGTTAATATAATTATCATGACATACTTCCAAAATTTTATGGATCCACCTTAATTGTAAATATTTCGTCTCTTCCGCGAACCTTGTAAGCATACACCAAAACACTCAAATCTTCAAGCGATTTTGCTATAGGCGAACGGACTTGCAACGCTGCATATGCATGCAACAAATCTGAAAATATTTGAACCTCAATATGCTTTCATAATGTGTTTATATCCTTTAGATGCTTTTGAGCTTTCTCACTGTAGATCGTCAGTGATTGAAAATTCTTCATGGGAACCAGCCAACTAATGGTTGTTAAACCTTCGCGTTACTACAACGTTTTACGAAGTATATCAATTTTGAAAAACTGTGCAAAGAATTAAGACAAATATAAACCATGCATTATAAATGTTCAACCGTTATCTACGAAGGAATAATGTAGTTCATTACCTATATACTCGCCCTGGAATTCAATCCGCATCGAAGATGCCTTTTCCCAGCTCTTAGTATTCAGACGAACAAAACGGGCGACAACTGTACGAGTTAAACGCTGTTCAACGACAGACCTGTCATCATAGTTTGCCTGAAACAACTGAGAAAAAGTTTGAGAGAAGAGCTTTGCAACTTTACAAGATGCACGAAAAATTGCACCGTGTAACACGGCTTTAACATTTATACCAACCTTAATTTGCCCAAATTCCGTGTAAGCGGGATAGTCCACATCGTCGTTACTCGTCGACATTGTAAAGCTTGCAACCCAATAGCCGTATACTCCTCTGCCTTGCGTCAAAATACCGGTTAATTTTATTCGACCAAGAAAATCTACTTTCACCCAAGGCTTAGTGTCGGTACCATGTCTCACCCAAGCTTTTGCCGCATTCAATCGAGCCTTTGCCGCGGTGCGATCCCAAGCTTCAAAACTAGAAGCCGTCAGTTGACTGTCCAAAATTGCACCGCTTTGCATTCCCAAATGAACGGAACTTGGAGGGTCTAAAAATTAATCATTTCTGATTTTTAGGCATTTCACTCCATGAGAAATATCTTTTAGATGGGCTTAATTTGGAGTGTAAGTGAATTATGATTTTTGGCACTTCACTCGATGCACGCGTAAATTCTGCTCGGGAGGTTTTAAAGGGTCTTAATTTCGAGTGGAATTATACACACTTCAAATTAAAGCAGTGATGGAAAAATGAATCAACTAGCTATAGGTCCACCGGCAGGAATCGAACCTTCCTTTTTGCGATGCCGGTAAGATGCCTGGGAAGAGCATTGCACCGGCATCGCAAAAGCGTAGGTTCGATTCCTGCCGGAGGACCCATAGTTGATTCATTTTTCCATCAACAACACCTAACTTGAATTTGAAGTGTGTATATAATTCCACTCGAAATTAAGACCTTTTAAAACCTCTTGAATTTTGGGGTGTACTTAATTTATACCCCACCATAGCTGTTCGGGCCAAAGGAATTTTAGGAGGGTGAAGGGGGCGCATGACTTCAGCAAAAATTACCCGATCATGTATACAAATTGCCTGACTTATCACTGATCTAATTCCACGTATTTCGGTATCATTTAATAACAGTTGTCCCGACTTTCATAGATTCTACCGGGTGTCCCAAAGATAAAGTACTCCGCTTTGATTGATAATAATTTCTTAACCAGTGAAGCCATTGCACTGAAATAAATTGATTAGATAGAGGGAAGGTTTACTCATCTTTTGGTACCTTACAATTATATTTTACGCAGAAAAACACGGAGATATTTATTAGTGTTCAAAGGTAATAGGCTATCAGTTATAGATGCGTCTAAATTATCGGCAAAATCGCAGCATAGCAGAAAATGAGAGAAAAGCATCGCTCGCATTTGGACAATGTCCTAACTTGCGTTTTAATAAATTAGAATAAATCGTGAGAATTTGTAGTTGTATAGCATAATGCAACTGTTTGTTAAATGTCTACCGTTAATAGTGCGTGCTTCAGTTTAGAAAAGCTTAATTAAGTAACATTTTTATACAGCGATTTTGCATATTTTAGAGACAGCCCAAAATAATTTGTACAGATTTTGAAAAGTAATAACTCCATGCATTTGCTTCAAAAATACAACTAGAAAATATTAAAATATAATTTAGTTTTTCTTCTAACTAAAGAATGTGGTTTCATTTCGACAACTTTACTTGATATGGAGTTATTTTGAATGAAAACGGAGTAATTTTTTGGGACACCCGGTATATGTAAACATAATTCTTTTTGTTAAGTAATATTTAGAAAGTAAGAAAGTTAGCCAAAGTATGTGCATAAATTGTATATCCATTGTTCAATTTTTTTAACCAGAAATAGAGAATTCTTACAGCCAATGGACCATTCCCATTTTAAACTGAAACCTGAACTAGGAAGATTCGTCGGTTCTGAGGTATACAGCTGGAAAGAGCATCCCAAAATTAGAAAATTGGAAAGTTTGGTTTCGAAATGTTGAAAAATGCGAAAAGTATCGCCGTGTCTAGTTGGCAAATTTTGTATCAATTATAGTATTATGCTCGAAGTGGTAACGCTTTTTGACCATAATACTAATTTATACAAAACTTGCAAATTTTGCACCGCCATATTTTTCACACTTTACAATATTTCGCCACAAACATTCCAATTTACTAATTTGGGGATACTCTTTCCAGTTGTACTGATGAAAATTCCTAGTTTTAAATTTAGTTTCACAGGGGAATGGTAAAGACAATTTGCTTTATTATGTTCTATTAAACAACAAGGGAGAATTTCGTTTTTGACCAATAAGCAAGTTTGTTTGTATTACCAATAACCCAATCAGATTGCATATATTTTGACTACTTCCGGTAAAAAGATACATTATTTACCATTTTAAATGAAGTAATAAAGATTTAGGCATTCCGATTGGCTTAGCTCAAAAAATGTAAACAAATATGCCGATTAGTTTAAAACGAAATTCCTACTTGTTTGAGCAAACGACGATGCTAATGGTTACAGCTATGATCAAGGTGCATGACTCTATAGCAATGTGGCTGAGGGTTTTCGGGGAAGACGCAATATAGTAAAAGTTTTTCACCTTCATAACGACCGTAAAACTCCACTCTCAATGAACAAGATCCAGTGCATATCTTTGGTTTAATTTGAATGTACCGAGCAATGATAAATGGATACAGATCTTGCTTCACTGTGAGACCACTGCTTGCATTAAACATCTATTGAAAAAAGATCAAAGTTTCGGGATAACAAAAGAAAGAGCAGAATAATTATATTAACCTTAGGAGTTAAAGGAAAATAATCAAAATTCTCTGCATAATTTTTATATTTTGTATCACTATTCAGTATTCGGAATCTGCATAATTATGGCGAATTCGAGCTTTTCAGAATCCTTTTCAAAATTTTAAATAATGAATAGACAAAGGTGCAAATAAAATGTATCATAAACTACTTCAAAGACAAACGCAAAGTATTTAAAAATCTTTCTTAACAATAAGTTATGAATGTGTAAAGAGCACATTAATTTTAGGTTCACACAGCTTTCCCATTATTATACACTAACACTGAAATTCTTCTGGCTTTTGAGAAAATCGACTGTAAAGTTTTAACAATATATATATTACGGTACATGCAGAATTATATATACACACTTATATATATATGGAGGTTTTTAAAGGGTCTTAATTTCGAGTGGAATTATACACACTTCAAATTAAAGCCAGGAACAGTTGATGGAAAAATTAGTCAACTATAGGTCCTCCGGCAGGAATCGAGCCTACGCTTTTGCGATGCCGGTGCAATGCTCTTGCCAGCGCAGGTTCGATTCCTGCCGGAGGACCGATAGTTGACTCATTTTTCCATCAACTGTCCCTGGCTTGAATTTGAAGTGTGTATAATTCCACTCGAAATTAAGATCCTTTCAACCTCTAGAATTTACCTACATCGAGTGAAGTGCCAAAAATCATAATTGACAATTATATATATATATATATATATATATATATATATATATATTAATAATAATATATATTTAATTTTAATCTATTAATTTTAATACGTCAACAACTCCTCCAAAGGATATCCTAGTCGGGAACTAGAAGTTTTTCTAACAAAGAAGTTTTTCTAACAAAGAAGTTTTTCGAGTATATATGTTTAATTTTTATTTTTAACATTCCTTTGAACTTTTCCAGAAAGGTTTTCACACATTTTAGCCGTAGCTACGTTGCTTTGGTTTTGCCCATTTGCTCACATTTTTCACAGCGGGCCGGTTGTATTTCAGAGAGGGCCGGTTGTATTTCACAGAGGGCCGGTTGTATTTCACAGCAGGGCGGATGAGAAAAACGAGCCTGCTGTGAAACGCTCCTCAGCCAATCACATTGCTTCACTTACACAGTTAAACAATGGTTTTATCTTCTAAAGACTTCCTAACAGCTAAACTTTTAAAGCTCAGAATTAATTCATCTTTTCAAGAGAAGATAATAGAGACGAGACTACACTTAGCATATTTTAGAAAATACGATTGTGTAGAAAACCACTAAATTACGTATACTTAATTCAAGAATTCAGATCGAAGTAAATTTTAAGATCACCTTTATCTCATCTTTATGTTTATATTCCTCCAAAGCGTCCCGATGGAATCCAGAAGCGACTGTGTAACTCTGAACCCACGATTGTCCACCGTCCAAACCCTGGGTCGAAATTGAAGTGAGAGTGATGTTTGCAATGAAGTCAACTTCAAGCCAAGGGTCACTGTCATAGTCCGCCGCAATCCATCCTCCATATCTTACGTTGTCTACCGTAGTCAAATTCAGTCTGCCATTCCATGCTCCGGATTGGAAAAATTTTGATGAAGACGCTGTGATTTGCGAGTCAACGATCATCCTACTTTGCATTCCCATGGGCACGGGATCAAACCAATTCGTTACTGGAAACAAAAGTAACATAACAAGTTGAATTGACTATTTGCAGTCAACCGAAGTCTTAAATGGAGCCACCTTAATCGTCAATATTACGTCACTTGTGCGAACATTTTAAACATACACCAAAACACTAAAATCTTCAAGTGATGTTGCTCTCGGCGAACGGAATTGCAGCGCTGCATGCCACAAATCTCAAATTATTTGAAACTCAATATATTTTCATAATGCATGTATTTATATCCTTTAGATGCTTCGAGCTTTCTCGCTGTAGATCGTAAACGCCTTCATGCGCAACATGACATTTCAAAATCTCTCGTGGGAACCAGCCAGCTAATGTTCAACCGTTATCTACGAAGGAATAGTGTAGTTCATTACCTATATACTCGCCCTGGAATTCAATCCGCATCGAAGATGTCTTGTGCCAGGCCTTAGTATTCAGACGAACAAAACGGGCTACAACTGTACGAGTTAAACGCTGTTCAACGACAGACGTCTGATCATAGTTTGCCTGAAAAAGCTGAGAAAAAGTTTTAGATGAAGAGCTTTGCAACTTTACAAGATGCATGAAAAATTGCACGGTGTAACAAGGCTTTAACAAATTATACTAACCTTAATTTGCCCAAATTCCTTGTAAGCGGGATAGTCCACGTCGTCGTTACTTGTTGACATTGTAAAGCTTGTAACCCAACAGTCGTATGCTCCTCTGCCTTGCGTCAAAATACCGGTTAATTTTATTCGACCGAGAAAATCTACTTTCACCCAAGGCTTAGTATCGGTACCATGTCTCACCCAAGCTTTTGCCGCATTCAATCGAGCCTTTGCTGCGGTGCGATCCCAAAATTCAAAACTAGAAGCCGTCAATTGACTGTCCAAAATTGCACTGCTTTGCATTCCCAAATGTACGGAACTTGGAGGGTCTAAAAATTCAACATTTGTGATTTTATGGGATTTCACTCGATGAGAGGGTCTCATATTTATACTATTATTAAATATGATGCAAATTTTTTTATTACCTAACATTTTGAAGATAAGAAGTTGAAAAATTTTGTGTTTATTCTTATTTTTTTATTCTCAAAAGATTAATTCTTAATGTTTTTCAAAATAACTTGCTGATCATGTTCGGGCGGGCTACGATGATGCTAATGGATTGTGGATATGATTATAAGGTGCTTTTCTGCATAAAAGTAATAGCATAGACTAAAACCAATGCAGTACTGCTTTATCAATAACAAAATACATGCAAACTACACTTCCACACATGTCTGAAGTTAACTGAATCCAACAAAATTGGATTGTGTGAAGGGGCCTTAATAATTAGTTGGTGGTCTTCAGGGAGAACGTAATAATAAAAATTTTTTACCTTCATAACGACCGTAAAACTCCACTCTCAATGAACAAGATCCAGTGCACATCTTTGGTTTGATTTGAATGTACCGAGCAATGATAAATGGATACAAATCTTGCTTCACTGTGAGACCACTGCTTGCATTAAACACCTTTTCGAAAAAAAAGTATGTATTAATAAGCGGTCAGTTCATTTGACAAAACTGACCTTTTTACGTATATGCAAATCCTTGTTCATCAATGATTTGAAAAATGGATGCACAGGGCACGTGCCCCCTACAAAATTTTTTCAAGGGACCAAGTGCCTTTTTTGTGATTAAAAATGCCTTTTTGGAGAAGCTAATGCAGCTGTAAATACTATTTTAAAATCAAAGTGCCCTTTTTGTTTTCTGCGTATGCCCACTTACACGTGCCGTATTTATCAACCGTATTTAATACTATTACATTAACTTTTAAGAGCAATTTTCGTATACAAATTATGCAATAGGTCAACACTTCCATCATTCTTCCGATTGGCTTAGATCAGCAGGCTAAGATATATTTCAGCCTGGCAAATTTATCATTTTAGCCCGCAAAACACACCGCAATGCCCAGGGGTGGATCCAGCACTAGTGCACTAATTTGCATGACACAAGAAAACTGCTAAAAATAACCACTTTGTTTTGTAATGCAAATTTGTGCACTAGTGCTGGATCCACCCCTGGCAATGCCCGCCAAAGTTAATAAAATATCCCACTACCTTTTTTAGTCAAAGTTATAACGATTCAATGTCGTTGACATATGTGAAGAATTTTGGTGAATGCTGTTGAACCGCGGGCTCAGACTTCTTAGCCGCTTTAAACTTCATGTAACGTCCCCCAACACTTGTTTCAAATAATTTTGACGAGCATGTGCACGCATGAAACGTGTAAACCCAGATTAAAGCGTGAATTTCGATCGAAGTAAAATTTGTCAATCACCTTTATCTCATCTTTATGTTTATATTCCTCCAAAGTGACCCGACGGAATCCAAAAGCGACTGTGTAACTCCGAACCCACGATTGTCCACCGTCCAGACCTTGGGTTGAGATTGAAGTGAGAGTGATGTTTGCGATGAAGTCAACTTCAAGCCAAGGGTCACTGTCATAGTCCGCCGCAATCCATCCTCCATATCTTACGTTGTCTACCGTAGTCAAATTCAGTCTGCCATTCCATGCTCCGGATTGGAAAAATTTTGATGAAGACGCTGTGATTTGCGAGTCAACGATCATTCTACTTTGCATTCCCAAGGGCACAGGATCAAACCAATTCGTTACTGGAAACAAAAGTAACATAACAAGTTGAATAGACTATTAATTTTCCAGTCAACCGAAGTCTTAAATGGAGCCACCTTAATCGTCAATATTACGTCACTTGTGCGAACATTTTAAACATACACCAAAACACTAAAATCTTCAAGTTATGTTGCTCTCGGCGAACGGAATTGCAGCGCTGCATGCCACAAATCAGTCTCAATATAGTATTTATATCCTTTAGATGCTTTTGAGCTTCCTCGCTGTAGATCGTAAACGCCTTCATGCGCAACATGACATTTCAAAATCTCTCGTGGGAACCAGCCAGCTAATGTTCAACCGTTATCTACGAAAATATAATGTAGTTCATTACCTATATACTCGCCCTGGAATTCAATCCGCATCGAAGATGTCTTGTGCAAGGCCTTAGTATTCAGACGAACAAAACGGGCTACAACTGTACGAGTTAAACGCTGTTCAACGACAGACCTTTCATCATAGTTTGCCTGAAAAAGCTGAGAAAAAGTTTTAGATGAAGAGCTTTGCAACTTTACAAGATGCATGAAAAATTGCACGGTGTAACAAGGCTTTAACAAATTATACTAACCTTAATTTGCCCAAATTCCTTGTAATCGGGATAGTCCACGTCGTCGTTACTTGTTGACATTGTAAAGCTTGTAACCCAACAGTCGTATGCTCCTCTGCCTTGCGTCAAAATACCGGTTAATTTTATTCGACCAAGAAAATCTACTTTCACCCAAGGCTTAGTATCGGTACCATGTCTCACCCAAGCTTTTGCCGCATTCAATCGAGCCTTTGCTGCGGTGCGATCCCAAAATTCAAAACTAGAAGCCGTCAATTGACTGTCCAAAATTGCACCGCTTTGCATTCCCAAATGTACGGAACTTGGAGGGTCTAAAAATTCAACATTTGTGATTTTATGGGATTTCACTCGATAAGAAATATCTTTTAGACGGGCTTAATTTGGAGTGTAAGTCAATGATGATTTTTTGGCATTTCACTCGATGAGAGGGTCTCAATTTTCATACTACCATTAAACATGACGCAAATTTTTTGGTTACCTAAAATTCTGAAAATAAAAAGTTAAAAAAGTTTGTGTTTACTCTTATTTTTTTATTCTCAAAAGATTAATTCTTAATGTTTTTCAAAAACACTTGCTGATCATGTTCGGGCGGGCTACGATGATGCTAATGGATTGTGGATATGATTATAAGGTGCTTTTCTGTGTAAAGGTCTGTTCACAAATCACAAGATCCGATTTTGTCGGATCGATTCACTTCTGATGGATGTTTTATAGTCTGTTGATGTGCAAAGTATATGGGCACGCAGCAAATAGACTAAAACTAATGCAGTACTGCTTTATCAATAACAAACTACATTCCATATATGTCTGAAGTGAATTGGATCCGATAAAGTTGAACCGTGGAAAGGGGCCTTAATAATTAGTTGATTGTCTTCGGAGAAGACGTAATAATAAAAAATTTTCACCTTCATAACGACCGTAAAACTCCACTCTCAATGAACAAGATCCAGTGCAAATCTTTGGTTTAATTTGAATGTGCCGAGCAATGATAAATGGATACAAATCTTGCTTCACTGTGAGACCACTGCTTGCATTAAACACCTTTTCAAAAAAAGTATGTATTAATAAGCGGTGAAAGTTCATTCCACAAAACTGAGCTTTTTACGTCTATGCAAATCTTTGTTCGTCAATGATATGAAGAATGGATGCACAGGGCACGTGCCCCCTACAAAATTTGCTTTTTTGGAGAAGCTAATGCAGCTGTAAATACTATTTTAAAACCAAAGTGCCCTTTTTGTTTTCTGCGTATGCCCACTTACACGTGCCGTATTTATCAACCGTATTTAATACTATTACATTAACTTTTAAGAGCAATTTTCGTATACAAATTATGCAATAGGTCAACACTTCCATCATTCTTCCGATTGGCTTAGATCAGCGAGCTAAAATATATTTCAGCCTGGCAAATTTATCATTTTAGCCCGCAAAACACACCGCAATGCCCAGGGGTGGATCCAGCACTAGTGCACTAATTTGCATGACACAAGAAAACTGCTAAAAATAACCACTTTGTTTTGTAATGCAAATTTGTGCACTAGTGCTGGATCCACCCCTGGCAATGCCCGCCAAAGTTAATAAAATATCTCACTACCTCTTTTAGTCAAAGTTATAACGATTCAATGTCGTTGACATATGTGAAGAATTTTGGTGAATGCTGTTGAACCGCGGGCTCAGACTTCTTAGCCGCTTTAAACTTCATGTAACGTCCCCCAACACTTGTTTCAAATAATTTTGACGAGCATGTGCACGCATGAAACGTGTAAACCCAGATTAAAGCGTGAATTTCGATCGAAGTAAAATTTGTCAATCACCTTTATCTCATCTTTATGTTTATATTCCTCCAAAGTGACCCGACGGAATCCAAAAGCGACTGTGTAACTCCGAACCCACGATTGTCCACCGTCCAGACCTTGGGTTGAGATTGAAGTGAGAGTGATGTTTGCGATGAAGTCAACTTCAAGCCAAGGGTCAAAGTCATAGTCAGCTGCAATCCATCCTCCATGTCTTACGCTGTCTATCGTAGTCAAATTCAGTCTGCCATTCCATGCTCCGGATTGGAAAAATTTTGATGAAGACGCTGTGATTTGCGAGTCAACAATCATTCTACTTTGCATTCCCAAGGGAACGGGATCAAACCAATTCGTTACTGAAGAGAAAGAAGAAGAAATACAGAAAGTCATATATAATGTTATTTGGTAACAAAATCCTTATTTCGGAAAAGAGAACAAAATAGAAGAAACAAATGTCGAACCCTTGCGAGTGACATCAGAGTTCGTATATTTTTAGCCTTTACCGATTTTAGGGGTGGCATGGCAGCATGCTATCCAAAATGGCACGGGGCTAAAATGCGAACTCTGAAATATTTGTTTTCAAAGCGGACAAACGCAGACTGCATATGTACGTATTTTCGACTTTTTCCAATAAATTGGTCAGACCGGCTTGAATGTACAAGGTGATTATTGCCTAATCATTCGAAGTCGCTCGACCAATCAGCGACCAGAATTCAAAATAATTACCTAAGTTATACCAAGTAATATTTATCAATGTCCTTCAGATTTTCCGTTAACTTTCCGGTGGAATCCCGCCTATCCAGACTTCGGACAAGTACTCGGCCCTGGACATGCGGCTAGTTTGACAAGCGGAGTTTATCGCTTACCATTTACATAGCATCCTTTGAATTCAACTCTTATCTTGGGGTATTGGTAGAAATTTCCAGGGTGAATACGAACATACCGCACAAAAATGTGATAAAGCAGCTCATTTTTCACCACTGTGCCTGCGTTTGTGTTGGCAGGAAAAACCTTAAACAAGGGAAAACGTTTTTCAATTATTTTTGATAAATGTAACAAGGAAATAAAAAAATTTATTTACATATTTTAGGCTTAGCCAATCAGAATGTATATTCAATGTAAAATTGTGGTAACCCATTGCCACCTATTTACTGCAAATAGTCAAAATTTTATTATTATTATTATTTAATCTTCCTTAAGCTTGGTTCACACTTGTCTTAAGGATCTGAAATTCCCTTGGTCTGAAGTCACTGGTGCACGAAATGCTTTGTCTATCCGAAGGTGATACAACGGATCCCCGATCCTAGGAGCTAGTGTTAACCAGACCTTAAAAACAACGGTAGCCCTTTAGCACTTGTCATGAGAAACTGTTTTCCAAGGGGCCATTGCACAATACATATAATCACAAAATAATTTAGGCTAGTTATTACAATATCTATTGCATAGTTACACATTACTCATTACACAATACACCACATACATTAAAAGCTTACGCATTAAGTATTACTGAAATAAGGGTTGACTGAGCCACGAAATCTTTCATTCGTCGAATCATTCCTATGCCTTTAGATATTTTGATGGCAACAATTAGTGCAAACCGTTTGGTTTGCACTTTCTCATGCCATACACGGCTTTTGATTGGGCGTATCAGCGTATGATATTCTTCACACGTGAAAAATTGCCGTATGTCATTTTGGCGGCAATTTGTTTACATTTTATCAAGATGGCGTCGAAATATAGAAGTGAGATTCAAAATATATTACTCAAATTCAAGACATTTTCGCATTCGGCACATTATAAAATCTTTCGGAGAGAATATCTAACTTCTATTGAACAAAATTACAACGAAACTGAACGGTAATAAATATATTTTGATGCATAAAATAGGCGATTTTTTTGCTCGCTGTGTTTTTGTATTTTAAAAGCGTGTGGTTGCCAAATTGATCTCTATACACTTTTAATAAACAAATTACTTCATGGTTGGCTCGTTTCTACGATTTTTATTATGCACTCGTTGTATCAGGCTATCGGCGAAAATAATAGTAAAAGAAACGATTTCCAACGATGAACAATTAAATGCCATGTTACAATTTTTCTTACAACTTGCAATGCGTGATTCAAATTCTAAGAGATGTAAATTAGTGAAGAGTCTTGCAGAAGTAAAGTGCATGAAGTGTAATAAACACAAAAGTTTCGTTGTTCCAAATATACATCTCTCAAAAGTAGAATTGCAATGCAAGTTGCAGGAAAAATTGCACCGTGTCACAGGGTCTTAAGGATTACCTTGTCCGTTTCACCTTCTCGATAAGTGTTAAATGTAACACCGTCATTTGAGTAAGATAGAGTGTAATCTTTCACCCAATGATTGTGTCGAGTAGAACCTTGAGTTTCTACGTCACTGACGATAGTTCTAGTTAGGAAATCAACCTGCAGCCATGGATTGGAATCACCACTTAGTGAACGCAACCAGTCTTTTGGGTGTCCAAGCCTTCCTTGGTGGGGCGGATAATGATAGCCGTGAAAAGAGCTGGCACTTATCTGGCTGTCGAGAATACCACCACTTTCCATACCAAGTCTAGTTAGCTTTCCACAAGCTAAAAACAGGCAGAAGTTGAATATTTCTTTTTAAATTAAATAAATGTAAATTCTATATCATTGACGGTATCTAAATTCTATGTCATTGACGGTAGATATTCAATGGCTCTGGTCTGTTTAGGGTAAACAGCAACGTCCTGGTTCGCTGCGACGAAGAGTTTGTATTTTAAAAGAGCGTCAGCAATTCAGCTGTCCTCGCAAACTATTTTGTGAAAAATTTGACAATAGAAAATATAATAATTAAATAATTGAACAAACACACAAACGATGAGCCAATGAAAAGAAATAACGTGGATGCAGTTCAAGAATAAGCGAAGAAAGAGGAATGAATTATTATCAATAAGTGCTATAGCGAAACTATTTTAAGGCGCTGTTACACTTTCCTTGCAACTTGCAATGCAATTGTACTCCTGAGGCATCTAAAGTTGTCAAATACGAACATTTCTTACGATCTCCTAACGTTTTCTTAGCATTTGAGAAAATTTTACAGATTAACTTGCACTGCAAGTTACAAGCAAAATTGCGCAGTGTATTTCGGCAGCGCCTTGAAATAGTTCGGTATCTATTCTATAGTTCCTTTTTTGTTTGCCGTAGTGATGTAGTTTCGTTCCTACTCACCGTTATAACATCCGTACAATTCCAATCTTACCGCTGGGCGTTCATTCCACTCGGTAGGTATGACGCGAAGATATCGGGTATTGATGACAGGAGAGAAAACATGTTCTACCACCGTATTCCGGTCACTGTTAGCCGAGAATACCTGAAATTACATATGGAAAATATCCTTGATTATTAAAATTAATTATATTATTAAGTATTTTTTACGACGCCAAAGAGTTCGTGGTCGTCAGCAGTGAGCGTTTTTACAACAATCGACCATTTTAATTAATCTTGAAGTCAATATTGTTTGACAGGGGGGGGGGGGTGAGTGCACCGAATGAGAAATTGTGTCATGAAAACCAGCCTCAATCAAACTTTCCTCAAAGTTCGCACACAATTCAATTCAACTTTCCCTCAATTCATGGCGGTAGCTAGAAGCTTAATTGGGGGGTGCATGTATATTCCTACATTCGTCGGTACATAAAACATGAATACGGTATATAAACATTAATATATGAATATACACCCCCCAATTAAGCGGTCTAGCTACGGCCCTGCCTCAATTTTAATGCAATCCACACAAATCTGAGATGCGACATGGCCCACCTTGACTTGTCCAGCATCTTTATAAGATTCCAAAGCAGTTCGATTATAGCCGGAGGCCACTGAGAATTTCTTTAGCCATTCGTCAGCGTCGCTTCTTCCTTGGGTTGTAATTTTAACAACCGTTGTTGTTGCAATAAGGTCAATCTGAATCCACGGCTGGTTATCGAGCTCTTGAGGAACCCAAGCAGCGTGTCTTTTGCCTGGTACGGCTGTAAGGTTCACTCTTGCATTGTGAGCCTCGCCAAGGGCATCTTGAGAGGACGCTGTGAACTGTTCGTGCAAGATTATATTATCACTTTTCAAGCCAATCTCTGTGACGATAGCACAGCCTGAAATGAAATTAACACACCTGTCACCTCTAAGTCTCGTTTAAGTCATGATTTCACTGCTAAAAAACCTGAAGAGATTCAGAAATATCCATAAGCATCGAACACGGTCAGGCATTCGCTTGTCATTACATGAGAAACTCAACATTAGGCGAATAAATTAATCAATCACAGTCATGCGTTGCCTTTTGTCAACAACATTTTTTGGCCTTTTGTCTTGTTTTGCCCAGTTCATACTTCGTATTTTCATTGCGTCGAATTCAATTCAATTCAAACAATAGACAATGAGATGAAAACCTATGATTTCATTATCTATTGTCTCAATTGAATTCGACGCGACAAAATATGTACAGCGTATAAACTACTATACAGGGTGTCCCAAAAAAAAGGCAACCACTTAAATATGCAAGAATATTAATATTGTTCGGGTTTGCACCATAGTTCAGCTAAAATGACTTTTAGCATTGTAAATGAAGGATTAAGAGCCATTTTCAATTCCCAGAGGTGCTTATCTATTGCGCTTTAGAGCTGTATTAATGTTCTGCATATTTAAGTGGTTGCTTTTTTTTTTGGGACACCCTGTACAGGGTGTATCAAAAAAAAGGAGACCTTTAGAAATCAAGCTATTGTTAAAATTTGAATGCCTTTTCAATTGCATTTGCACATATGCTGAACCGTAGTGCGTTAAATATTGATGGCATGCATGCATATATTAGAAAATGAATTGACGTTTGTACACAAGATTGTCTGCTCCTGGGAATTTGAAAATAACTTTAATAGCATAAGGGAAAATAACGACCCAAAAATATTCAAATGACTAAGCGCACTACCAGAACAAAAATGGTTCAACTGACTTCGGAGCAAAGAGTTTTTGTAGTCTTAACTTATACCCAGCCTGCCGTCATCAGAAAAGCAGTTCGCGATATGCACAAGCGTACGGTAGTTTGTGTTGAGAGAAATGGAGGCCACGTTGGAGGTCATGGTCCATGACATTCAGTTCTTTTGATGTTCAATTTATCAGTAATTTTCAATCTGGATCGAAATGTCAAGCGAATCTGTGTCAGATCAAGTTGTAATTCATTCCTGACTCATGTAAACATTTTAATAGGCAGAGTTTGTAAAATGGGATGCTGAGCCATTCCGGATTCAAAGTGAATTCTAACTCATGTGAACAGCCCTAATGCTCGCGCGCAGTGTTAAAAATTATTGAACAAATGATTTGTTCATGTTTTGAAGGAAAAGCTAAAGCAATTTACCACGCATACTGTTATCGCTTTTGTGCTTAGTCGTTTGTGCTTAGTCATTTGAATATTTTTGGGTCGTTATTTTTCCTTATGCTATTAAAGTTATTTTCAAATTCCCAGGAGCAGACAATCTTGTGTATAAACGTCAATTCATTTTCTAAAGGTCTCGTTTTTCTAATGTATGCATGCATGCCATCAATATTTCACGCACTACGGTTTAGCATATGTGCAAATGCAATTGAAAAAGCATTCAAATTTTAACAATAGCTTGATTTCTAAAGGTCTCCTTTTTTTTGATACACCCTGTATTTTAGGCCTTAGTTTATTAATGCCGCTAATGATCGTGTTTTTGTCTAATTTTTCACGCGGTGGTTGCAACGGTGATTCACATCTTACTGGCTAAAATCATGCCACGAGGTGTCCAGAAATGTTCCATCTTTCGAAATTAGGCTTTGCGTTCAATACTTAATCAGTTACCTTTCACAAATCACCAATAAACTACCAGTATGCAGGAAAGTTATTTGCTTGTGTTGAAATTGTGGCATAGAAATTCCAACAACATATGCTAGCTGTTTTAATAATTTTAAATTCTTAAAAGACACTCTGTACTTGTTTTCGAAATGCAAAATCACATATTTCTGAGTTAGCTATCTCCAATACCTTTATAATTGTCTTTTTAAAACAGCCTGGATTACAAAAATCGTTCGTAGACTCGCTTCACACTGAAGCTATATTTTTTGTCAAAGCTTTATAATTAATGTACAGCAGGTTCAAACATACGTCTGCGTATTTCGGTCAAATAATAACAAAGCCGAATCTCCGTGGAACGACTATTTCACGAGACTTTCACCGCGTAAATATTACTTATGGTATTAATCAAGCAATATTCATGAAGGCTGAATGAAGCTATATCGTGCTGATGTCACGTAAACGAAGTGTGATTGCATGGCTTCACGAAACTGTGCTAACAAACCACTTCATGTAACATTACGCTTTTTGCTTTTGATGTTATATCACGAGAAATGTCTATTAAGGTCTTGCTTACAATGTAAAAAGCCGTGTTATAACTAAGATCATATATAGTGTTATCACATTTACCCATGCACATCGGCGATAACCTGCCAATATCATTATGACCATATGTTCTGAAAACTCTTGATTAACTCGAGACAAATACAAAAATATATCCTAAACACTTACCACATCGAACTTCAACGGCAATTTGGGAAAGCAGAACCTGGGAAAATAAAATAAAAGCTATACACTTTTTCATACGATACGGGTTTTTAAAAACACCGCGACACTGAGCCCGCGCCGACAGCAATCCTATTTAACACTCGGAGTCCGAATAAACAACATTATAGTAATGCATTCGCAATGTTTGAAGGTTAATGTAATATAATAATAATACAATAGAAAATATGTAGACTGGCAAGTTTTTCAATGTAAGTTTGGTAGAGAGAGTATTCTATCGAAAGTATTCTATCCATCCAGTGAATATTTCAGCGAGACCTGCGTAAACTATGCATGCATAAGATTTAAGAATTCCTTTCAACAGTGATTTAAAACAGGTTTGAAACAGGTGTTAATAAAAATATATTACAAACCCGTCTGACTCTCGTCTAGCGGATTAAAGATAGCCTTTGACATTTCAAGTTTATATCATGTGGTATAAATTAACGTACATATAATTTTAAATATCATTCCAATAATGATTTGTTTACGTCAATACTGAGTGCTTATCGTTATATTAGCTATAAATTGTAAAGATTATACGTTAAGTCTTTATGCTAAGGTTCTATAGCACCTGGTGTCTATGTTTCTCTTTTGAACTTTTTTCGAAGCAATTACAAATAACAGAAACATTTTAAGATTAGTTCAGCAATTTTCCTTTTAGAAATTTTCTATTGCGGAGAAGAGCACTGATTTTTTTCTCGGGCAGCATTCCCATATAGGTAAACAAAATATTTACCAAATAATTATACGTTGAAATGAAATTAAATTGGTTGAATGAACATATTAAACAGAATTAAAGCTATACCCACCCAAATACAGATTGCAATGTGCAGAAATCTCTTTGAGAACGTATTTTCCACGTAAATAAGAGTCATCTTTAAGCAACTATATGCGTAGGATATGCATCTTCAAAACTGCATTAAAGCTGAAAATATACCTGTTAAACTATTTAACATACACAAAAGGTTGCCAAGGACATAAACGTAACCTTCATTAATATTGCATTATAGTTGCTTGGCAAGGACTAGGACTGTTTATAGTAATTAATGAATTGTAAGAAAGTGTGAAGTAAATTTTCTCCCCTTTTAGTATAACGCCACACAAGAAAGAAGGCAAGAAGCATAATAGTGCTTTCTTTGTCCGGGTGTTGAAAGGGCAACTTTCATTTCACGCCAGCGACCATCAACTTTGTTGGTTGATGAACTCTTTGGAGTGTGGTCAGTAAAATGAAAATGCAGTGATGAGGTATGGGCAATTGGAGGGGAGGTCAGTCAGGAAACCACCTGTTAATCAGGTACGCAGATCTCCCTTGTTGCTAAATGTATTTTGAACGGCGTTGTAACAACATGAATACTTATATGTATACGAAGAAGTTCCGTAGCCAACACGATAAACAGGGGGGGGGGGCATATTGATATATTCATGATATGTGTGACGAATTTCTTCTCAAATCAATTGTCTTTACAGTCTGTTAACATGAGTATATGAATATATAAATATGGGCCCTCCCAAATATCGGTGCGGGGTACGCCACTGTTACTAAGTCACAACATGCTTGCAATTTTTCCTGCGATTTTTCCCTTTTAAACGATGGGAACCAGTGGATATAGTTATGCGTGCTTTGAACACAGAATACCACAGACAGAATACCTATCAGAAGAACAACTCCATTGTTTTTGGCGTAAGTGTGATTCGTCTGATTCGTCACTCAGCAAGTACGTAAAATAGAGGCAAGCCCCCCTGCCAATATTTAATTAGAATACTATTTTAAACATTGGCAGGGGGGCGATTGCCTCCGTTTACGGTACTTGCTGATTGACGAATCAGAACGAATCGAAATTACGAAAAAAGTTACGAGTTATCTTTCTCATAAGTATTTTCTGTGATGACATCATCAAACTTAATTGCATTTTAAAAACTCAAAAATTCGTAAAAATTGCGTTCCGTAAACGGATCGCGTCCCGTGTGTCTCGGCCTCAAGGGCAGTTTTCCTTACATATATATATATATATATATATATATATATATATATATATATATAATATATAATATATATATATATATATAATATATATATATATATGTTTACTTGGAGTTGTATCTGGTTTAAAACAATTTATTAAAAAGATTCTAGATTAAAAAGTACTAAATTTTCGGTAGCTAACTGCTACCTTCATCAGAGTTCTAATGTTCAAGCAGTATAGACAGACTATTATATAGTGTCACTATCCTTGCATGATTGAATAATTGGTATGTAAATTTGAGGAAAATGTTTATGCTCATTCACTGATCTTTTGTCCAAAACCGAGTGCAATGACTCAAGGAAGAGTCTTTTGTTTGTGTTATGCACTTTCTTTTCCAAAATCCTAGCATTCTCCATTGACACTTCATGACCGGTACTTTCTGCATGGTCTTTAATCGCTGACTTAATCTCTCGTCGTACGCCAGGTTTATGCTCAGCCCATCTCGATTTCCATGATCTTTTACTCTCGCCGATATAAGTGAATTGACAATCTGGGCATTCAAACTTATATACAATGCCTTTTATTTCAGAATCTAATTGTTTATCTTTAGGTTTCCCAAGTATATCACCCAAATTTTGCATAGGTTTATATGCCGTACGTACGCCAGCGGTGTGTAGGACTCGTTTGATTTGTTCGGATACCCCTCTTACATATGGGATGCTTGTGAAACAAGTGGCATTACTAGATGTAGATGGAGCTTGAGTTGGTTGACTGGAATGGTCAATGAATTTGTTAGGGTAACCATTAAGTATAAGTTCTTTTTTAACTCGTTCTCGCTCATTTTTTCTATTCAAGGTGGTTGAGGGAATATTATCAGCCCGGTCAAATAGACTTTTGACAACGGCTCGTTTGTTTTGAATAGGATTGTGTGAATTGAATGACAAGTATTTATTTGTATGGGTCTCCTTTCGATATACATCAATATCCACATTACGATCATTGCCGATAATTACCATAGTATCTAAGAAAGGGATTTGCTCTCCACGCTCAGTTGACGAAGACATTTCAATAGTGAATTGAATGTTCTGGTTGATGGAATTCAAGTGAGAGTGGAATGTGTTAACATCACACTTTCTCAAGCATGAGTTAGAATCATCGACATAACGTCGCCACCAACGAACCGGTACTGGTGAAGTATTTATGGCTATGTTTTCTATCTCCTGCATTACTATTTCTGCGATTACGGCGCTGACGGGAGATCCCATGGCGCATCCAGAGATTTGGTGGTAATACGATCCATTGAATTTAAAATAACTATTGTTTAGCACAAATTTTAGTAACTTGACGATATGTGTTTCTTGCAGGCATGTATATGATTTCCATGTGTCGTTCTCGTGTAGCTTGCGTTGGACTATGTCCAAAGCGAAAGGTACGGGAATTGATGTAAAGAGTGATACGACATCAAACGAAACAATTGTTTCATCAGTTTTGACTATCTTATTTCTGACGAATTCTGACGTTTTCAACTGGTTGCCTAAACAGCATATATAGACATATAAAAATGAATTATAATGCAGATGCATTACACCAAGCGAGACGACTAGAACGAATCTCACTGTCGAAAGTACGGCAAAAACTACATCTGCGGTATCTTCATTTATGTAAAGAACAAGGTCAATTGCCACGATTCCTGATGTCGAGACCACCAATAAACCATCCTAAAGCATGGAGCATCGCCAGAAAAAGTGGGTGGGCTTATCTTCGCGTCCTCATAAGCAATTGCCACCACAAACTTGAAAATCTAGATAAAGATTCCTTAACGCTAGTTGAGAAATTACAAGATATTGTTGAAGACGCGTGTTTATTGAGTTTACATCAGGCAATAGCGAGTCGATGCTCCCATCTGCAAAGCATTGTAAGGGAAAGACACCAAACAAAGTTCCGTCAACTAACACGTAGCGACGACTCGAGTCAAATTCAAAAGAAATGGGTTGTAAACCTCTCGGGAAGGAAATTAAACGAGGATGAAATCAGCTTGTTGAGAAAAGGATTGAACTACGTAAGCACCCCAAATGAAATACCGAAGAAAGAAATCTTAGCCTCAGTTGAGCAAGGCATACATGATCTACCTAAAGAAGAACAAAACGAGGTAAGAGCTAACATCTATTCCATCTTGAAGCAAGCAAGACCACCTGCTAAGCAAAACTTGACGCGCGGTGAGAAGAAAGCATTGAAA